CCATAAAAATTTGTTCCATGTAGAGAATTTCAAATGAAAAATAAAAAAAATTGAACTTGCCAACAAAAATGAAAATCAGTCATTATCATCCAAAATATCATAATCGTCATCATCATTACTGTCATCACCATTAATTGTTATTATGATTGAACTTATTTCGTTTATTTTATTTTCACGAGTCCACCAATCTTCTATTAGTTTCTCGCACTTGGATATACAGTTCCGCCACACTTCTGGAGTTGCAATTGAAAGTGCTTTTCACCAAGTTTCCTGAACTGCGTCGTCACTATAACCATTAGGCCCAATATGGTTGTCATAATATTGTTTTGCTATTCCATATATATATTCGATGGGATTAAACTGGCAATGATACGGTGGCAGACATAAAACTTGATGACCGTAACTTTCAATAATCTGATCCACAACAAAGGTTTTTGGTTATGCGCGTATATTTGCCAAACGTAATAATTCTGATTTTAATATATATTGAGGAAATGATATATGTTCCTTTTTCAACCATTCTTTAATTTTATCAACAGTACAATAATTCGTTGGACTTTTGTTTAATACTTCGGAATGGTAAGGTGCATTGTCTAAAATAATTACGCTGGGCTCACTTAAACCTGGGAGAAGTTTTTCATGCAACCATTTTACAAACATTTCTGTGTTCATATTATCGTGATAGTCACTGGATTTTGATTTAGATGAAAATATTAAATCAGCACCTATAAAACCCGATTTACCTCCTGCATGTAAAATTATGTGTCGCTTCCCTTCTCCATCGGTATGTTTGATGGACTTTACGTTATCATCTTGGAATATTCTCTTGGTTGCACCCCTAGAAAATATCCATGTTTCGTCTAAATATATAAAATTCGCCCCTTCTTCTTTAAATTTAGAATATTTTCTTAGAAAGTTAATTATCTTGTGCACGACAGAACTTCTTTCACAAAGGGCCTTTCTGTTATCCTCTTTTTAAAATTTGAAATCCAAGTTATGTATCACTTGCCATAGACTTGTTCTGCCAATGTCGTCAAATTTTCTATCTATTAATTCCGAGAGAATTGTATTTAAGGTCACATGTTCCTTGTTGGCCCTCATTCGATAAATGGTATCACAAATTTCAAATTTCTTTCCATCTGGAATATCTTTCGTTTTCAATGATGGACGAGTTTTGCGGTGATCTTTTTTCGGCAGTTCACTATATGTAATTTTGTAATACTCCTCTTAATTTGGTTTCACTAATTCTTAGAGCATCGCATACGCGTTGTTGTACATACATTACCGATTTTAAAGGACCGCCATTTTCTTTTTCATCCGTAAAATACGTATGTACACTACAAATTAGACTATCTACATCTAACACACGTCTAGCATTTTTAAAATTTCCACTAAATTTACAATATACATACAATGTCAACACTTGCAAAGAATCAATTCAACTGCAATATTTGTAACAAATTTAGTACCTACCCTAATGTTATTTTAATTTAAATCTGACCATTAGGGCAATTTTACCTAATTTCTTGGGAAGAGGCTTATTGGAACTGGTTGTCAATGACTAATTTGAATAATTTTGTTAATACGAAACCCGCGTAAGTATAGCGAACAGACTATACCGACGATTCGTGACATATACACTGTGTTCCAGAATGGATGTGCCAATAGGTGTAACTTTATTGAAATAAAAAGTATCAATGTGATTTTGCTTTTCTACATTTCTATATTTTACTCTAAAACTTTGTCTTAAAATAAAGGTAGTTTATTCTTGTATATTTAAAAAAAATGCTCTAAAACACCCCTCCCCGTATATGAGCAATTCGATTCATACTTAAAGTATATTACTTTTACGTGAGGCACTGCTAAACCTCACAAGATGAATGTCCTACTCATTTTTTTTGCATTAACACCTGTTAGCGATTCTATTCTGTGACATAGTGTAGGGTGTCATTTTTGAACAACTTTTTTTTTTCAACTAGAAAACAGGCTAAAAACTTTCAGGAAGGTGAAAAAAGAAGCCTCTAAAAATTTGAGCTCGTAATATTATCATTTAGTGGTGCCTGTTCCTAACTTTCCATTTTCCATCTAAATAAAATGGGGGACAAAATTTTTCTTTTTTCTTATTTTTGTAGCTTGATATTTAAGCAGTGTAAAAATAAACTGAAAAAAAAAAGTTGCTTAAAAATGACACACCCTAGTATACATGTTACACCCCAGGTGGCGTAGGTGTGTTGGATGGCTTGGTTATGGTTACCCATTTACCATAGAGTTGCCCAGATGGGGTATCGCTGTCTTCTAATGCTTTATAGGTAGATCTAAAGCAGGCCTGCACAACTCAGATTTTCAAAGGGCCAAATTTGAAAAACCGTAACTGGACGAGGGCCGCCAAGAGAGGCCTGAGCCTTGAATAGTCGGTTCAGATTTCTAAAAAAAAAAAGTCGACCCCTTTCATTTATAAACCAACTCCTGTTGGTTGAGTTTCTAAAAAAAGGTCGTCAGCTTATAATGTATAACCTATCGAGTCAGCCTAAATGCAAGTTTGTTACTGAAAATAAAAAAATGTATAATTTGACGTAGGTGGGCCAAATTGGTCAACAGCCAGTGGGCCGCCAAAACGACACTGACGAACCGTATCCGGCCCGCAGGCCATATGTTGTGCACCCCTGATCTAAAGGAATATACCAGTTCCCATTCTCTGTCAATTTGATTTCATCACATAATATATTCCTCCATGTCTTTGTTTCTTTGTTTATACCTGCCAATTGCGTACTCTGGCACTGCTTGGATATCCGTTTACTTCTCGTATCCAGCTAGATCTTGGTTTGCTCCTTCTTCTTCTTCTCCCGCCAGAAAATCATTCTTACATGCTGTAAATTGTAGCTCTGTCTCTCTTCTTCTTCTTCTTCTTCTTCCGCCAGAATCCCTTCTTACATATTGTATAGCACAAGTAGAAGTTGGATAGGCTTTTGCCAGTCCTCCCACTTTATACACATAAATTGACAGGTTTGCGGCGGATCTAACCGAAGTGGACGTACATTGGCGTACAAAATTATTTTATAGATGTTAATTACAATTTCGAGTAAATAGTTTAATAAATTGTGAATAGCTGTTCAAATTTTGTAAAATTATGATTTAAATAATATATACATGTTTAATAATTATTTATAGTCCATAAATACATGCGATTGTCCAGTTCTGCCGGTAAACATTACCGCGAAATTCTCGAAACCGTCCAACGTGGTTTGACGTTTACCCCCTCTCTACCTACCAAAAGCCTTTCCAACTTTTACTTGTGCTATAAATTATAGCTCTGTCTCCCTCTTCTTCTTCCACCAGACTCCCATTCTTACATGTTGTAAATTGTAGCTCTGTCTCTCTCTTCTTCTTCTTCTTCTTCCGCCAGAATCCCATTCTTACATGTTGTAAATTGTAGCTCTGTCTCTCTCTTCTTCTTCTTCTTCTTTTTCCGCCAGAATCCCATTCTTACATGTTGTAAATTGTAGCTCTGCCTCTCTCTTCTTCTTCTTCTTCTTCTTCTTCTTCCGCCAGAATCCCATTCTTACTTGTTGTAAATTTTAGCTCTGTCTCCCTCTCTCCACACATATCCTAGCCATCTAATTCTTTGACTTTGTATTTTCTAAATCACGTCTTCTCTGTCCAGTTACTCTAGTATTTCTTTGTTGGTTCTACGTTTGTATTAGTCTCACATCTGAAATACTACCACCGGTACATAGTACATGTTGTTCAACCCCTCCCCTTTACAAAAAACACGACATGCAAGATGATTCTATGTTATTATAGGTCCCAACATTGTTTTCGTTACTTTTCTCTTTTGTATACTCTCATTTCTTCTTGTTTTTTAGTTTACGTGGCATACCCTGTTTTGAAAGAAGCCTCACTTATAACAGTAGCTATTTTTAATAACTTACATACTTAATAATCATTTTAAAACATTTTTGAAAATCAAATAACTTCATAATAAGCCATTCCTGTATCCTGTACTAATTTATTAAATATCTAAATGATCAATTTATTTTTCTACGAGCGTGCGGAAATGTCCAGCTTTCTATACGAATCTTACGCACTAGTGCGGAAAAGTGATTTCTACCATTTACTATGTTCGTTTGCGTCTGAATGGAATCAATATGTTTGTTTTAGAATAAATAATATTATTCCTAACACATGCTCACTCGACTGCTTACTCGAACTCCAACTTCCTCTTTGCGTAGTTTGGGAAAGAGTCACAATTTGCGCTTATTAGGAAAATAACTATATTATTAGATAAATTCTGTTTTTTTTTTGGCAACTGAGGTGATTAGAGATAAAAAGTTAAGCTTTTGAACAATATTCGCATTTACAAAACAAATGTTTGTGTACATTTGTTAAATTAGAAAAATTATGAGCAATTTTGTGGTCCATCTTTGAACACGTTATAGCCGATATTTTCTTCAATCGATTGGAAGACGATATTACGAGACTGTATATTTTTTCACATCGGTATAGGAAATATGCAGTTTCGACGTATTCTGATTATATTTGAATAGCAAATAGTTGCACTTTTCAATTGTATTGATTAACCCTAACCTACTAAACATTTACATAAAAAAAATCAAATTTTGCGCAATTCGGAAAGTTTTTCATATAATAATAAATTTAACCGATGCGATATTCTTTTAGTATTTGTTTAGATCCTTGACAAGTATTTTTAGACGGGAAAATTTAATTAACATTTCCAATAAAAAAATATTAAATATTTAGAGGTTGTTTTAAAACGGATAATTGCTGGGAAGTCATATTCAAAATACCTCCAGAGATATATTATATAGTTTGTATAAATGTAATAAATTAATTTTAACTTTCAGGATTTCCTCTGGACTAGACTATTTAAACAAACTATAATTCCTCTTTATTTTTCAAGGTGGTTAATTTTTTAACCGTCTTAAAACATCCTGCATACTTTTTCGAAAAATAAGAATAAATTATAAAATAAACGGTACAAATTAAAGTAGTTTATCCCTCGTGGACAGTCCCAATGCTTCTGTGTGTTTTTTCGCTTTTAGTCTTAAGTCCGCTATGCTTGAGTTTTTGTGGGCTACTGCTAGCGCGGCAAACTCAAGAGGGTACTGAGGATGGCAAAGAATGCTGGCAGCCGCTGCGGCTGCTGATCCTCCTCCAACAGCCACAGCTGCGGCTGCATACTAAAAATAAAAGCTTTTGCAGCGAAAGTAATTTTTAAATTACCAAGGTGGTTCAGAAATGAGTAAATCACAGTTAAATTACCTTAATGCTAACTGAGTAGCAAATAGATAAAGAAGCTAGGTTTTCTTGCAACCCGCTGTATAAGTATATTTGTGTACTTAATTGTGAATTTAATTGTGTACTTAAGTGTATTTAATTGTGTACTTAATTGTTTATTTAATTGTGTACTTAATTGATACGAACTCAAACGGCATAAGTTGGAAAACTTATTGTTAGATTAAGATTACATTACTGCCATGCTGCCAAAATTCATTACTCATAATTGAATCACTAGAATATCTTAATTTATCTTATTTTATGAATAAATTAATAAAATTCTACCTGGTGCGCTGCTGAGATAAATGCTGAATTTATGGCTGAAAACGCAGTTCCAGGTTGGGAAAAAGGTGTCGTGGAAAGTCTGTCATAGTTTGTAAGAGCTACAGAACTAGATGTCAGAGATATTCCCCGTAAAGCTGGAACGTTCATGTAAGGTACCACTCTGCATGGTTCTAACGGAGTGCTTGAGGGTGGACTGTGATTGTTCAACATCACACCTGAAAAGTTATTTTTTTTTTATTAGTTAAATTTATAAATGTACTGAGAAAAGTGTAATGTTAGTTAAATAAATAAAGTTCTTCTTATGTATTTTATCCATAATACAGGGGTCACTTCACTAAAGTAGTGCGTTCTATTGAGGATATTACAATAACAAGAAACAGGTCCATGAGCTAAATGCTACTTTGAGAAAAGAACCTATAAAAATCTAAGGGTACAATAGATCTTTTAGGTTGCATAACCATAATGATCTTAAATATTCAACCAATCCATTTGGACTAAACGATCTTGTCACATAATTAATAGGTCAAGGCAGATGCAGGCAGTTCTTACGGAACCTACCTACAAAGTATTGTTATAAAACTGGAGAGACAATAATGCGGTTTTTTGTAATACAGGGTGTCCCAAAAGTCACTAGGTGGTTTAAAAATGTAATAACTTCTGACTTGTAAGGCTTTTTAAAATTTTTGTTTCAGATTTAGAAACTAGAAATTCACCGTTCTCCAAAGAGTCACTTTTGTGGAACTGTATTTTGAATACCATCAATCTATTATTATAGAAACTCGAAAAGCATTTTGTATACTGTTTAATGCATGAAATTCCACCTTGGGAAATGACTATACGCAATAGTCATTTTCGAGGGAGATTTTCTTGCATAGAAAAGTCCGCGAAACGCTTTTTGAGTTTCTGTAACGAATTCCACAATAGCGACTCTTTGGGCAATGGTTAATTTTTCCATAACAAATCTTCAAAGCTTCTAGTTTCCAAACCTGAAACAAAAATTTTAGGAATCCTTCCAAGTAACAAGTTATTACATTTTTAAATCACCTAGTGACTTTTGGGACACCCTGTATAATATTGTTACTGGTAGATTAGTAAATGTGATAAATCCTTTAAAGACTTATCAAAGTGTTTAGTTTAAACATTTTGCAGACAATTAAATATTTGGATTAGCACTACAACAGTGCAAGAAATCAGATGGGGCAAACATATCTGTCTCAGAATACTAATTAACTGAATTAAATCGTCTTTAATTTCTTTAAAATTGGTTTGATTATCTCGTGAGAATTATTAATTAAGCTTAAAATAAAGCATTTAATTTGTTTAAAAGCGTATGAATCGAAGCAGCATTTAATAGCAGCGGCAACAATCTGTTTTCGTAACCTTAGACGTAAATGCTATTCAGAAAGCGAATCGTAATCACTCTGTAGATGGTTGAATCGAGTAAATTGCAAGCGTCTGAGGCAGAGGCCATAAATCACGTTGACTAGTGGAAGCGGTAACTCGCTACAAGACCATTAAAATATTTAGAAGATGAAATTTGTAACTGAAATTATCCTAAACGCGGCTCGGGCAGCAAGCATCTACCCTCATAATTCCAAGCGGACTATGAATATGGCATGACTTTATACCCCACAACAAATCTGCGGTATATAATCGAATTTATATACAAGAGCGCGCCAAAAAAACTGCTAAGAAAAAGTTTTCAATCAAATAAAATAATTCCCCTAGGGAGCAATTTTCCGGAGCTCAGTCATCCAAATGCCGGGCTGTAGCCGTGGCCATAAGATGACTGGTCTGGGTCCGGGTCCGTCAGGGTGGGCCCGTGGGACAGCTAAATTACACTTAATGCCTACCCTCTTCGAGCGTATATCAACACGACGCCGACCGACAGAGACGCTTCCAACCCTGATTCTTGATTCAAAACGATCTGATTCTTTTCTTTACCTTTGCACAAAAAAAAACGCTTTCCTTTCTCATTCCCTTTTTATTTATATAACACCCAATTGGCCTTGGCGAATTGACACATTTCATCTTCTATTTTTTAAACATTTTTTCTAGCACAAAACTTGCGAATTGATAAATTTAGTGAACATATATTTGCAAAATATATGAATAATAACTACAAAAGTATTGGTGATTCAAACTAAGCTGTAGATCCTCTGGTGAAACAATTTATAAGCTTCAGAAGTGAACCCTTGTTGACGACAAACGGATTTGTATATTAAAATGGTATTTTTCAGTATTTTTATCGGATATATAGCGTTAAAAGATGTTATTTTTTTTTACTAAAAATGTGTTGTGCAAGTTGAAATGAATCATAAAATTTTGAAGGATTAACTTTTCCCTGTAATAAATTACGGTTAATGGTGTAGGTACTTGAGAGGATTAAATTATAAACACCCTCCTTAAACCAACAAATTTTGCTAAATATCCTTTCAGGTAGTTGTATTAATATCTTCAAATTTCTAAATGACTCAGTTTACTTTCAACTTCATTTCAGTCTTTATTGTTGTGTTGTGTTAACCAGTCGGAAAAATGGCAAAATTAATTGAGTCGTGGGTAAAATCTTATTCAGATTTTGTTGTAGAAGGTGATAACCAGGTATTTTGTAAAACACGTTCTAAAATTGTAAGTACTTTTTTTATTTTATATTTTATTTTGTCCTTTCACATTGGTAAATCAAACGACAGTAAAATATTATTTCAACTCACAGTAAAAAAAAAGTAGGGCAACTTTACAATGTACGCATTTATTTAATTTAATTAAAACTTCAACATCTACAGGAATTTATTTGTTTTAGATTCCATGTAAAAAAAAGTTTCAAATCGACCAATACGCGAAAACACCCTCACATATAGCAAAGCAGAAATCTAAAGACACTCGCAGACAAAGTCAACTTCGCTTGAAACAATATTGAAAATCTGGATCGTCTAGAAGTGAACAAGCTATTTTTAATGAAGATTTGTGTAAAGCTTTAGTGACTTCGAATATCCCTTTAATACGATTAAATAATCCAAATATCCGATCATTTTTGCAAAAATACTGTAAATTTAATATTCCAGAGCAAAGTATATTACGCAAACCTGGTGTTGACAGTTTGTACATTGAGACTCGTGAAAAAATTCGTGAGATTACGGTTGGAAACCATTTCTACATTATTGTGGATGAAACAACAGAATCTTGTGGTCGATATATAGCACATTCAATGATAGGTTCATTACGCGAAGAAATGCAAATTGGTCCATATCTAATCGCTTCAAAGCAATTAGATGAAACAAATAACTTGACAGTAACTCGTTTTATCCAGACAGAATTGTCTTCATTTTTTCTTCCGGAAGCCGTTCAAACAGAAAAATGTTTATTGCTGTTATCCGATGCTGCCCCGTACATGGTAAAAGCCGCACAAAATTTAAAAATGTTTTATGAAAACTTAATCCATGTTACATGTTCAGCTCATGGCCTTAATAGAGTTGCAGAAGAAATTAGGTCTAACTTTCCTTTAATAAATGATTTAATTAGTAATGTAAAAAAAATATTTCTTTAAGCTCCTCTAAGAACTCAATTGTACAAAGAAAAATTTCCTGAATTACAGATGCCACCGGAACGTGTGATTACTCGGTGGGGTACCTGGCTTAAAGCTGCCTTTTTTTACGCAGATAATTATGAAAAAAATTAAAGAAATCATATTTGATTTTGATGATTCATCTAAGGGAATATCTAATACAAAGAAGTTGTTTCAAAATCACATATTACCAAAGCAATTAGTGTTTTTAAAAAATTATGCATTTGTACCCAAAATTATATTAGATTTAGAACAAAATTTTACCTTTGGTGACTTCTGTAAATTTAATTAAGACGTTTGAATTAGAGTGTAAAAATGTCCAGGGCGATATTGGAAAGACGATTTTTCATAAATTTTCAAATGTAATTTTAAAAAATGAAGGATTTATTGTTTTAAGAAACCTTGCTAATATTTATTCTGGTAACTTTGAAGATATTTCAGGAAAATTTTAGTTTGCACCTATTACTTCTGTAGATGTTGAAAGGAGTTTTTCTTTGTACAAGTACATACTTACTGATAGGAGACAATCATTTAATACAGATAATTTAGAAAAACATCTAATTGTTCATTCGTTTTATAATAATTTTGATTTGTAAAAAAAATTAGTTAATAATTAAATAATTATTAAGTATTATATTAGGTATTGTAAAATAAAACAAATAATAAATATTAATAAACTATTTCGATCAAATAACAAATTACTCTTATTGCATATGCTCTGCATATTTTTCAATTTTTTTACGCATATATTCCTAGGTCTAGTTATTATGAACAAATGAGGTTATCTTTCCGCATCTAATTAGCAAATTATATATTCGTTAATATTTTTCTGGAAAACATTTAAGAAATCGATAGAAAAACATGTAAAGAATGTCATTTTATCTAAATAACAGTTTGTGAAATATATAAATCATTATAATGATGTTTGTATCTTTAAGATTTTACATGCCGGTAAATTTAAAGATGCTGTTTGAATTAAGCTATAAAATGTTATATTAATAATTTCATATTGTTTCTAAAGAGAGCTTTTTTTTAATAAACAACAGAAAAAAATAGATATGTAAAAAGTATGCCGAAAATGTTTAGTCCTGTACTGTATCTGAAGACCTGTCCCTCCGTTCTTATTTCGCGCGAGCTTAGATTTGATAAAATTACATTTGCAAATAGGGGTTAAGTCCTCGTTTATTCATTTCAAATATGGACTAAGCATGTTGACTGCTTATTCATGGCTTTGCAGTCCCCTCACGAGTCTATATCTCATTTAAATAAATGTGCCTGAGCTTTCCCACCTTCAAAATGCATCCTCTCAATTAGAGTAAATTAAATAGTTGCCGGATTGTAACCAAGCAATTTAAAAATTTGCGAATTTAGAGGTTCTATGGGCAAATTCATCCAATTGGATAAAAATTTATTATTTTATGGTAGCGATTAAAAGATTTCCCCTTAATCAGACACAATTTAAATCGTCGGGTTTGGTTTTATAGCATACAAGGTGCGGCAGAAAGATTTTTTACTATACAAAATTTTTATTTCTTTCAAACATCAATGTTATCCCCTTCAAAGTAGTTCCCTTTGGCAGCTATACACCGATGGAGACGTTGTTCCCACTATTCGTAGCAGCGCTGGAAGTCTTCAACCGTGTCAATTTAGGAAAAAGAAAGAGGTGATGGGAATAAGGGGGATGGGGGACCATAGGAATGCCTTTTGAGGTCAAAAATTCTGTTATGGAGAGGGCAGTGTGACATGGGGCGTTGTCATGATGGAGCAACCATTTCTCTGCAATGTCTGGTTTAACGCGAATGACCCTTTTTCTGAGCCTATCAAGGACTGTTTCATACTCGTACACAGTCCCTGTGACTTCTTCCTTTTTCCTAAACTGAGAAATGTCCTCAAAGGCCGTCATTTCGAGACTTTAGAAATCATCCAAAAGACTGTAACGGACATGCTGAAAACCATAACGGTTGAAGACTTCCAGCGCTGCTACGAACAGTGCGAACAACGTCTCCATCGGTGTGTAGCTGCCCAAGGGGATAACATTGATGTTTGAAAGAAATAAAAACTTTGTAAAGTAAAAAATCAGTCTCATTACTTTTCTGCCACACCTCGTATGTATTATTTTCACTTCTTAGTTAATTTAGCCCATAATAGCTTACTTATCGTCTTGTATTCTTTATTTTGCGTATTTACAATCTTTTTCTAATTATTACTCTTTGTTCCAATTCTCTTCTACTATCTAAATTTATGATACGATCCAAATTGGTTATTTCCTCAATGCTACTTTCACGTTTTTCTCATCCCATACAGCACGCATTAATTCAGAAGTGTTTTAGAAATATTTCAAACGTTCTAAACATACCTATAACATTTCTGAAATATTTTAGGTAAATATTTCACTGAAAATGTTTCTGAAACATGTTATAAATGTTACACGAAAAGTTACAAAACGGGTTATGTTGTAAAAGGCCAATGTTTATTGAAAAATGTCTCATTTGTAAGAAGGAGAAGAAGAAAATAGGTTATGTAGTCATTTTTCATTTGCCATTTACTTTTTTGATTGCGCGTTGTGCTGTTGTATGGAAATCATATTATGTCTTTAGAAATTGAGGTAACTTTACTTCTGAAATATGAAGTTTGCAAGTAGATTCGATTTGGTTAATTTCAAATAATGCATTTGAAGGAATTGGTGGAACTTAAGCGATTCGCCTTTATATTTCATGAAATGTTTAGAAATTATTTATTTGTTTGTTTAAGAATCAATTTGTTTATTTTAAATAAACATGTATATTTTTAAATGTCTTTTTTTAGTCTAATAAAAATATTACATATTCATTTTGCATTGATATTCCAGTAATATTTTAGAAACGATCTTACAACGTTTCATAATATTTATGAAACAAAACCATGTAATATTTCTGAAAGATGTCAAATTTTCATTTCAGAAACATTACCGTGAAATATTCAATTTACAGGACATTTTTACGTTTCAGGCACATTTCAGAAATGTTTCGTAATATTTATACAATATTTCAATGTAACATTTTTGCAATATTTCCAAAATTTCTTTGTGCTGTATGGGATGTTCTTGTTGAGCTGTTTTACTTCAGTAAAGTAGAGTGGGTAATACTAGGAATTTGGTTCCCCAGTAAAAATAGTATTTTCCCTCATTCTACTGATGATTTTGTTCAAATAATCTTAAAACCTGTTTTACATGTGATTTCTCTCTGGCAATCAGATTTTTTACTCTTATTTTTATTATTACTTCCTTTATCCTTTTTTTAATTTTTTTGTTTTTTCTATGGCCTGTTAAATTTCCGGTTTTTGCGCCGAAGGTGGTTAAGACTGGTGAAACAGATATTCGCATGCTCTGTAGATAAAATCAAACATTTACAGAGGATTTTGTTAATTTTTCAAATCTATTTCATTTTGTAGAAATTGGTTGTTTTGCAAACAAACCGTTATCAAAATAATTTTTTATGAAGAATTATTATTCTAAAAAAAATACCTTTTTGAATTTGATTTTCATGTTTTCTGCATTTTGCTCTCCTATTTTGGAACCAGACCTGAAACAAATACACATTTCGGTTATCTAATACGTTTCAAATTTTATCATTTAATTATTTTTCCAAATTAGTATTTTTTAAATTGCCATTTACACCACGTGATCAATTCAAATACCGGTTTTGCTGATCACCTCTTGTCTAGCATCCACTTTTTTACCTCGGCGCGAATCTCTTCTAAGAAGGTAATGAAAAATCTAATGTGTCCAACACATGACTTTGCTGTCTTACCTAAAGTTATAGGCTTTTTCTGGTTATTCTGTACAGCTTATTGTATCATCCCTGTAAATATTTAGAGGAAGAACTAAATACATACATTTTTCAAAAATCTTACTCTAAACATTTTTTTATATACAGTGATTAGAAGAGGTATAACAGTGCGCACCAGTCCACTAGTGATAGAGGTGTATCCATCTGTCCAATCACGGCAGGCAAGCAGCTGATTCACGAGAGCTTCTCTTTTTTTCTCAAAGGATCCACGGGTTAACATATTATATAATACAATGTATATTATACTCTTCACAGTTTGATAGACTCCCCTTAATCACCGGATTTTTCAAAATCAATATGATTCATCCCCTTATAAAGCTTGATTTTTCATGAATATTTCAAGTTGATATCATTTTTCGTTTTTGTGTTAGTATTTTTTGTTAAATTTCAACGTCCCTTACCCATCATTTCTATGCAAGGATTAGTCCCGTTTACCCTTATAGAGTTTGATTGTTCCGAAAAATTTATAATTTTTTTTAACTCTCTTTAATATCAGATTTTTTTCGTTCCCTTATAGAACTTAAGTTGATATAATTTTTCGTTTTGGACAAGAAATAGGACATCGGACGGACGGACGCGACAGTTTGTGTACCAGACCCTGTGTGTATGTACAAAACCATTTTTACCACACCAGACTAGAAATCCCGTCGTTGCAATAAACGTACCGATATAGATTTTTGTAAATGGATATGACAGATAACGATCACATCCGAATCGGTAAATAAGCAGAAAAACACTGAAAGCATTCGGAGCCATAAAACACCCCGGGCATTTTTTCCAATAAATCCACCACCTCCCGACATAAATACAAATAAAGTAAAATGGTCAGTTTTGGGGTAGAAACGTTCGATACCATTAGACGTTACAATTAGTGTTTTCTTTAGTAGTTCCAAACGATTTGGCCCGAGTAATTCCACTATTAGCAGATAATTTCCTAATGAATACATATGATGTGTAGGGAATGGAATCCCATCAATTAACTGGTGGATTAAGGACGCTTAGGGTGTATTAAGGGTGATTGATGTTATTGAGAAGAGCCTGGTTATCGATGAATCGGTCACTCTTCAGCACGACTGCAGCCCGAGAAGCACTTTATAAATTGGTTGTTTTAATGTTATTGAATAAGAGTGTTTTTATCAATTCCTAAAAAGGTAGATACTGTGTTAAAAAAAATTTCAAAATGAACAAAAATAGTATTTCAAGAGGAGTATTTACTTGGCTTTAGAACAGAGCATGTAAGAGTTCTATAGTACCCCACTTTTAAAGTTTATTTTTGACTTATTCTAAAAGAAAACACTTTTTCAAAATTTAAATCTGTTTTTTCTAAAAAACAAAACTTGACTTTCACCCATTTTCTCAATTTTTTTTAGAAAAAACTAAATTGAATTTTTAAAAAGTGGTTCCAGAGGAGCATAGATTTAACCTTTATCTACACGTAAATATTTTTTTCTTTTAAAAATAGTCAAAAATAAACTTAAAAAGTGGAATTTTACGAAACCCTTACATTGCAAGATTTTTCGCCTAGAAAGTGGCGCCTCTGTTAGATTTTTAAGAAATTAATATTTTGGAATGAAAACAATTTATTATTATTATTTTACTAATGTAATGTACGAGGGATAAATAAATTTTACGTTACTTACGTTAATTTCTACACCTTATTGTTTTACTTAAATCATTTATGTAATACTAAGATCGACATACATAATATGCAAGGGTTCATAATACACCAATTTTATTTTACGGATTATTTTTTATTTTTATTACAAGAAAAATTATGTAACTACAGGTAAAGGTTCAACCCGTACCCCTCTTTCTTTCTTTCTTTCTTTCTTTCTTTTGAAGAAAATCTAAAAATATGTCTTTCTAACGAAAAGAAATACAAATAAAAATGCTGGAAGGGAACAATACATTTAATTTTTACCTAGAAGCATGTATTTTTCTTACAATAAAAAAAATACATTAAAATCTTTTTCGTCTAGAGGGTGACAACAACAAAATGTATATCCTTTTATTTTTTGCTAAAGTCACCCAATATGGCATAGACAATAAATCCAGAGCAAAATAAGATTTGAAAATTTATTTGCAAGAAAAAATTTTTAAATGTGGACTTTTTATTGCTGCTAGTCCGGATGGAATTTAAAACAAAAAACAAAACTCTATGATAGAGTTAAAATGTCCATATGGAGCTAGAGTGCTGCCCGTAGTAAAAGGAATATGCAGTAAAGAAACTTTTTAGGAAAAGGACAATAAGGAAAGCTACAACTAATTGTTATTTTCAAATTCAGAGCTAACTGCACATTACACAATGGATATTTACATTTTGTGCGTTTAGACTCCTCGAGGAATAAAAGTGGCGAAAATTGGTATCCGAGTATTCAGGATCGGTTTAATTGAAAATGGCTCGCACGACAGTATTTGCAAAATATCCGCAACAAATTTCGTGATAATATTCCAGGTGAGATATTGTTTTGTACCATTATTTTGATGAAATTTATTATTGTTAAAATATAATAATATTAAGTAAAAATTAAAATTAAATGACAAATGAAAATGTTTGCACAGAAACTTCAAATTTTCGGAACTCTTTTTACTTGGCTATCTCCTATCCAGTGAAAATTACAGTTAGTGGTAGCAAGTTCTTTACCTACTATATTAATAAATACAGTTTTTCTTATCATTACAGGTAATTCTAAAAAAAAAAAAACAAATTTTTAAAAATAAAATAAAAATATTTAATAAAACTCGAATTTTCATTTGAGATTCTTTTTAACGATCCTCTTCAAGTTTCTCTTTTCCAATATTTTATAGTTAGCTGTAAATTCAGTTATGTGAAACCTGGTCTCCCGAAAATCGAAAATTTTAGTTTTAAAGTCGCACGTGTTTGACAATTCAGTAACTTTTTTTGACATCCCAAATTTTAAACAACTTTTAAAAATGTTCGTTCGATGTCACGTTTTTTGTTCGCAAGATAAGTCAAAACCGAAAAACGATATCAACTTAAAATTTTCAGGAAAAATCAAGCTCTATGAGAGGATGAAGCCTATTAATTCTCAGTGCCGTCAAGAGCCAGGTGGGGCACCGGGACAATTTTATAAAAAAAATTAAGTCTAAAAATAACTCAAAATAAAAAAAGTCCTCATCTTGTATTTTACATTATTTTACATAAACCAGCGCTCCTCTCTTTTGTGACGAACTTGTAAAAAATAAAACGTCCTCACATAAAGCTGCCGGGCCAACACTTGTGTCCGGGCCCCGGGAATTTGTCATTTGTCATTTGTCATTTGTCATTTGTCATTTGTCATTTGTCATTTGTCATTTGTCATTTGTCATTTGTCATTTGTCATTTGTCATTTGTCATTTGTCATTTGTCATTTGTCATTTGTCATTTGTCATTTGTCATTTGTCATTTGTCATTTGTAATTTGTCATTTGTCATTTGTCATTTGTCATTTGTCATTTGTCATTTGTCATTTGTCATTTGTCATTTGTCATTTGTCATTTGTCATTTGTCATTTGTCATTTGTCATTTGTCATTTGTCATTTGTCATTTGTCATTTGTCATTTGTCATTTGTCATTTGTCATTTGTCATTTGTCATTTGTCATTTGTCATTTGTCATTTGTCATTTGTCATTTGTCATTTGTCATTTGTCATTTGTCATTTGTCATTTGTCATTTGTCATTTGTCATTTGTCATTTGTCATTTTTGTCCCGGCTACCCCCTCTCGCCAGCCCTGTCTGAAGAAATCCGTTTCAAAATGGAAGGTTAAGAGAGGTGTGTAGAGTATAACATAGAATGCAAGTATGATATAAATCTTCATTCTAGTTATTAAAGTATAAAAAATTTGTTTTTAAATTTCTATTGGAAACTCTATTTCTGTGATTTAAAACTCACTTACTTGCACTCTCGCTTCGCTCAGCCCTAGCCTTTGGCTCAACTCTTCCCTCATGAAAGCATCCGGGTAATGAGTTTCATCGAAAAGTCGCTCTAATTCGTTTAACTGTTCCAAAGTGAAGTTAGTCCGCGATCTCCTTTGCTTCGTTGTTGATTTTACGGATACTGAATGGTTCAATGTCGAGCTGTCCCGGGAAATTGTCAGTTCTTCGAGGTTTTCGTCTTGGTCGCTAACTATAACTGTAACAAAAATAGTTACAAAGTCTGTATCAATCAGAGATCTGGACTGAAGTGCGATATGAAAACTTTTTATCAATCAAATAGATATAATAATTTTAAAAAACACACCAAAAATGAAGAGTTTGATAATTTCTCCTAATCCCGCCATCAGATCTTGACCAAATTTATATGGGACCATGGGCGCCGCCACACGAGGGAAAGGGGATCATTAACTAAAATAATATTTAAATAGAATGCAGTGTTATTGGAGACACAGTCATACGATTCCAGGAAATAATGGTCACATTTCGGGTAAAACATGTTTTACAATAAATATTATAAATGAATGTGTAAAAAGAATGGGGTTCGGATTTTCTTCGTCAAATTTTAAAAGATCTTTATTTACTTTGATAAGAACGAAGTATTGTTAAGGACCCAATTTAATAATAAGTATATGCCTCTGCGATTCTTACGCGCAAGTTACTATTCCCGAACTTATCAACAAAACAAAATATGTGTCGATGAAGCAAGTTATATCTTTGCCTTAAAAAAAGTTGTTGCTTTCAGACTTTTATAAAATAAAGTTAATTAATTTTAAGTTTTGTGAAAAGATATTGTTGAAAGCTTATTTTTGAAATAATAATTGTATTTTTCTGTTTATTAGAACCAGTTTTTTAAATTATCCAGCCAATTTTTATTTTTCTCACAGAGAGTGATTAATCAACAAAAACATTTTGGTCCTTCGAGCCAGATTTTAATTTCTAAACTTCGAGAATAGCTGGTCCACGCCACAAATTAGCGAGACTTGCATTACTGGAGCTTGAAAAGCAACTATCTTGTAAGTTCGTTCCTTTTATTTTTTTGATAATAGTTTTAAACTATTTTAATCATGTGCTTTTTTTACCGGTCATTCGGTAGATAAACTATGCTGGAAAAATTTCCTAAATTAAATGTTAAAAGAGGGCGATCATTTTTTTATCGTGAAAAAATCACCCTCTGAGATTATTTCAGATCTACACTAAATCTTAACTAAATTGTATATAATTTCACTAAATTAGATGTAATAATTTTCAATAAATTTAAATACTTTTTATGTTAAATTGGATATCAAGTATTTTTTACGAAATGTGGCAACAGCTAGCATTTTTTAGGCGGAGCATATTACGTTGTTTATTATGAGCTTACACAGCAGCTTACTACTGTTCAATCTATAATAAATCACATTATATTATTTAGATAATATAACTTATCCCCGTTCTAGTGGTACGACAATGCAATTTATTTAACACTGCTGCGACTAACAAATGTGTAGGGCCCTCAGATCCTTCAGTCCTCCAGTATATCCCCTCCCTTACCTCACACCACACGTTTTTCCACTCCTGGCCTACAAGTGGACTGATTTTATTGTTGACATCACATATATTCTATTTTATGAATTAATAGTTATATCTCTGGTATTTAGGTAATCAAAAAAGGTCCCCCTTGAATGAAAATACCTAATAAAAACTGTCCGTTTAGTTTGAGTAACTGGACCATTTTAAAAGCAACCAATCATTATCGTTCAATATCGGTGAAAAAGGGTTTTTGTTTGGTGGTTTTAATTTTAAATTATTATAATGCTTATTTAATTTATTTACTATTTAATAATTATGTTTCATGTTTTTACAATTTCTGTATCGATTGAAGTCCTGGATAGAAATTTTTACCGATTTTTTAAACTTTAAAAGTTTAAAGTGTATGAAATTACTTTCATATGATTTTTATTTCGTCTCACATAGCATGAAAACGGTCCTGCCAGCCAATAATTCCGTCCCTAATGTAATAAAGTTTTTCCAGCAAAAATTGAAAACAAGGTCCAAATTGGATTTCCCTTTGTTTAGTTAGATTTGATTGAATATAAAACATAAAACGCCCATTTTAGTAATTTAAATCATGTCGGCATCGAGATTGCTCCTCCCTTAGCCCCCAACGCCGTTCTCCCTAGTTATCACTCCCTCTTTACGTCCCTGTTTACAACGTTTTAAAGGATTGCACACGAGCTGAGTTTGGAGCGAAACTCTACCTATTCCCCAATTCCAACTAAATAAATCCTCACTTTAAGTTGTTTACCCCAAATTTTATTAATACCAATTACCTGAACTACCTTTGAAGTAGCGATAAGTTTATTTATTTATGATCGTTTCAAAATTAGGGCATTTACGTTTGAGGTGAAATTGGTTTAAACATCAACTGAATTGAAATTATCCTAATCCCATTTTAATTATAAATTATTAAAAATATTATCTACAGACAGTTCGACGTTCCCTTTCCAGTGTTTTGTACCGGGACCTCACCATGGCTATCGGCGGCCCTGGTTATTGACACACAATGACTATACCTCCAATTTAAAAACATTAATTATCATCATATGATTATGATATGATTAGTATCAGAGACAACAGAGACGTGTAACTTAATAGGAAAATTTGTTCGGTGGTCCATTTAAATTACATATATGACTTTCTTTCTTTTACATTGATCTTTACATATATGTATCTCTCTCTAATAAAACTAACACCAGTTCTAGAGGTCGCTGATGTTGCTGGTTTTTTGACGTCGACGTGTGACGTATATATTAGAATTGACAATGTTATGAATGTTGTTATGAACGTGTGCATTTTATTAAAATTAACTTAATTTGGGCCCCGTTCATATTTCCTTGTATCCTACCTCTCTTTTATATAATAAAAAAGTTCTTTGTATAAGAACATTATATTATCTGTCTTGCTGTACCTTTTTTTATGGAAAGCCTGAATTGAGATACACTACAAATTATTTGCAATAAATATGAAAAGAAGTATACATTTTTAAATAATTTGACATTTAAGAGCCATTCACACATTACAGTTGGCATGTTAATACTTGACAGGCACAGCCAAGCATTATTCTGATTTTTGCCTAATAAAATGTCCTGTTAATTATTCTATGGGGTTGCGACAGAGAGCCAGTAAATTTGATGAAGGTGTTTTTGTGGCTAGGGGCGAAATAGTAGTACGCTTAAGTTAGCACCACCATAAAAAAGTCATTTTTAAGAAACTGCTTGTATAATTTTTCATAAATTGGCAGGCTTAGCGACTAATAAATAAAAATGGCTATGGTTGCAAGTATGAAGGTCGTAACCCGCCTTAGAAATTTCACCTTTACTATCAACAGCTGTTGTTTAACAGGTCGTTAGAGAATGTTTGCAATTTATGGAATGTTAGGAATGTTGACTTTAGAAATAATTGGAATTCCTAAAATTGTCACATAAGAAATGTATAGGAGGATTTTAAGAAAATTGATATTAATTAGGATGAACCGAAAATTCTGAAAATCAATAGGGTTCTAAGTTACAAGTAATTATTCAAGTAAATTAAAACCGCAAGTCAATCTTTCGTTCTAGAGTTATCATGCCGGCATACATACGCACAGACGACCAGACGAAAATTTTTTTTCGTTTGCACGAATGTAATACTGAGGCTCCATAGGAAGGGCCTCATTAATAAGGTGCTCTGTATTAATAATAGCAGCGAATTATTTTTAGGATCTAATAAAATTACCAATCACTTCGCAAATCGAGAAAACTTTTTGAAGACCGGCCCTGCTGAGAGCACAATTTAACTTGTCAAAATAACGAGCAGTCATTGTTAGGAACTTTATTGAATTAACATTGATTTCTGTCAAATTGATTTCCTCTTTTCCGGCTATATCTGATTTGGAGTAGCATGTGATATCCCTTACGATTTAGTGTTTGTTACACGGTCATCTCTCACATCTTATGAAATATGAAAAAATAAACTGGGGCAAGTCAAACCAGAGACTGGAAATCTTTAGAAAAAAGAGGTATAAATAAATATGAGTGTCTTTGATATTCTAAAAAATATTTCGGGCTAAAATACATTAAAGCATTACCGTGAAAATACACTTATTGTTGAAATAAAAATTGTCCTAGTCCCATTAATTTAACATTCTTATTAAGCAGTGGCAATAAAGACATCTTTGACTTATTGGTTAATTTTTTACGTTCAATTAAATTAAACCTATAACTCTAAATTTTATTTTTTATTCCTTTTCTTTTGTTACTATGCACCTGTGGCAAATGGAAACCATCCAATGCCAACAACCACACAAAAAAACACTTGTTTGTTTGTTAATATGTAAAGTATTTTAATTACAACTATTTTCTCTAAATTAAGCGTTGAATTATATAAACAGTGATGCCAATTCATATTCAAATATCGATAGAGTTCTGTATTCTTTTTTGTATAAACAATTGTTTCAAAAATAAGGGCGAAGCGTTCTAAAAACAAACACCTACAATTTTAAAAACAATAATAAAGGGATTGATTCGAGGATACTATACATTTGTTTTTGTACATAATTTTTTGTTGTTTTCAAAACCTACGATCTACAAAAATTGGATAAAATATTTTTACAAGCCAAATAGTTTGTGCAACAAGAATGGATAGGCCCGTATGATGATCAAAGTACTTAATCGTCTGAGTTTAATGCGGACAAACCACTTGAATTGAATAGTATATTTTTTCTGCAAATCACTAAAGAAAATGTACATTTTTAAAAAAGCAATTTAGATGAAATAACTATTTTAAAAATAATTAAAACAAAAATTTGAATTTTGAATTTTTCCAATTTATAAAATAAACTAGAAAAAAGCCTGCAAATCAATTCTGAATATAGGATTTTTCACAAAAAAACTCATTACTTATACTTTCGCGGCAACAACTTACAATTTATTTCCCTTTAATTAACATATTTATAATTGAATTGGTTTTAGATAATTTTATTACAATTTACCGATATTTATGGTTTCTTTATTACTATTAATGATGCATATCTAAGTTGCCATTATTTATCAATTCTTTGTAAGCATCATTAATGTTTAATGATATTTTATCCTAAAAACAACAGCAACAAAACAATGACAATTAGTTTGACAGAAATGTCAGTACTCGTGCGTCGTTGATGCCATGCGGAAGTACTAT